CCATTCCTTTTCAAACTGTCATTCCCGGCATAGTAGATCATATGGTTGTCTGATTCAAAATGGCCAAAACCAGTCCCTTTCAGCTCACTAATGCCGAGGATCTCAATCTTTATGCGTTCCATCATATAATCTAGCTTCTCAAATTATTTGCTCAGTGTATAGATTGAATAAGTGTGGTGAAAGGATTCAACCCTCACACACTCCCTTCTTGATTTTAAACCATGCAGTGTCTCTTTGTTCTGTTTGAACAAGATGTTTACTGACCCTCAAATCAAATGAAACTACTCTCCTATATAACACTAAGCACCATGTACAGTTATGTTTTTTGGGTGATAATATGTTTATTATGTTCATCCTCCACTCTTTTGTAGGCTTGTTTCATTTTTTTACCCCTTATACTAGGGCTTAGCACAATACATAACAAATGGAAGATGTTTAATAAATATTTTTAACTAAGTGAAAGTATGAACAGAGTTTTAAAAGATATATGTGCATGTATAGATTAAAAATTTTTTTTTTTTTTTCAAATTTGAGGGCAAGAAGGAACATATAAGTTTGGGAAATGGATATTATTCTTAGTTGCAAGTTATGTAAACTTACTTAAAATTATTTTTAAAAAAATTCACTTAATACAAGAAGGCAATTTCTGCAAATGTTGGGAAATAGTTTCAAAGTAAAATTCAATAATTCATAATATTTTTAAAAATTACTTTATTTTCACTAATAAAAATTGAATGGATCTGCTTTGTCATTTTCAATCAAAATTCACCTTTTGTGTAACCATTTTTTTTTTACTTAAGCATCCAAATCTTCTAGGAGTTTTCAGCATTATGAAAAATATCACACTACATTCTGAAAACAAAATTTAATTATTTGGCTCTTTATTAGAGTGGTTCTTGGCAAGCCACTGTTGAATTTATGAAATGTTTCTAATCTTTGGGGCAGAACAAACTTATTTCTGTAGACCAACATGAAAAAAATAAATAGCATGAGTAACAGACATAGCTGATAGTCTGTTCCATTTTCAGAATATGTAATCTCTTTGGTTGCTATTCTGTTTATTACTAGCATTTTCTGTTCTTGCAGGGCTTTTATAGGGTTTGTCTAGAGTACATAAATTTTATGTTCTGCATTCTATATTTTTTCATATTTGGAGGCTTGGCATTCTCTTGGTATGTATAGTGAGTGCTGCAGACAGAGTTCTTAAAACTAGACAGGGTTACACAATTTAAAATGTTTATAATATATTTGTCTGTCCATACTTTCGATGTCTCCTTTACTGCACTCTTTTGTCTGTCTGACTCTCACAGGAGACATGGATTACAACTGGTTGGACCATACGTCTTGGCATAGCAGTGAGGCATCCCCAATGTCTTTGGTGAGACATGTGGAGCCTTACTATTTAATTCTGGTTATCATTTCACTTTTCCTTTTTATTTACACCTTTGCATGTTTTCTTTTTTGTATCTTTTTTTATTTTATTTTATTTTTATCCCACACCTGTAGGGGACAGTCAAAAGGGAAAAAGAAAAACTAGTGAGCAGGCAGTTTTGTCGGACTCTCACACCAGGTCTGAGAGACAAAGGAAAATGATGTACTTTGGAGGCCACTCTTTGGAAGAGGATCTGGAATGGTCTGAGCCTCAGATTAAGGACTCTGGGGTAGATACGTGTAGTAGCACAACCCTTAACGAGGAGCATAGCCATAGTGATAAGGTACTGAGATTGTGGAGCCTGCCTTTTAACCTGCTCATTTGGTCTTCGTTTGCTCTCTGTCACTCATTGAAACAGAACATAAGAAAAAGACAGGGCATTTCAAAGGTCAATGTAGCATTTCTTAAGGTGCAGAAAAGAAAAACAAAACAAAACAAAACACCCTCTTGCTTGCTTTGCTGTTTTTATTGTTTGATGACATACCAAAAAATAAATAAGTAAATAAAAAAGAAAAATTAGGAACAATGGAATGTTTTGTCTAATGGTCGCATGAAAGAACTTTGTGATGTTATTATAAACCACAAATAATAAAGAATTTTTTGGATTGGCTTATTTGATTGCTTGCATATATTTACCTTGGGACGAAAATTAAATTATTAATAGTTTGAATCCCAGGCAAAAGGGAGATAATTGGTTTGTTTGCACAGAAAAAGTTGTTTTTCTTTTTTCCCTTTCACTGTCATTTTGCTCTTTGGTTTTATTGTCATAGCATTTTAATGTAGTATTAATTAGTATTAGAGCCATTGCCATCTGCTTTGGTATTTATTATTTTTTGCTTTTAGTGTAGTGGGACTTCTGAAAATCTTTTTACCTTATCAATGTGATTGACTTGAACTTGTCATTTGCATGTTAAATTTTGCATGAATATATGCATGTTACTTTTAGATAACTGTGGAATGACTGTGATTACACAAATCATTTCATTTGTTATTTAACATAATGGATTGGTGTCTTAATTTATAAAGGACTTGGTCATGTCCTGAGAAAGAAACAAACTACTGATATTTTCAAAGTTACGTAATAATGGATAGCACTGAACTGTGTAGTAGAGGTAATTTGCTAAATAGATTAAAGACTTGGGAAAAAAATAATGAACCTCTAAAAAGTGAAAAATGTAATCCATCCTCACCTTTGAGTTAGGCCTTACTTCTACCATGTACATTCAATTGGAAACTTACTGAGACTTGTGTAATTTTTGAAATTTTAATCTAGAAACCTATTTTAAGAAAGCTATAATCACAAATTCCTATTTCATGTTTAAAATGATTTGACCTTTTAATTTTTACTTTAATAAAATCTGTCCAAAGCTTCCAAAAGTGTTTGAAGATGAAATTGTCATTTTTAAATGAGTTCAGCTGTGTAGAATTTTAAACCATCTTTTCTATCAGTGAATTTTTAATCTTCAGTACATTGATTATTAAGTTAGAAATGTATACATTTTAAAGATGTTTCAGTTTCATGGAACTGTATATCTTTTGTGTTGTGTGAGAGCACTGTAAGAATTTGAAGAAATTGTATACTGAAAAAAATCAAAATGATAAAATTGAGTTATATGCTTAATGTACTAAGTCCTTTAGATGAATGTTTTGGAATTCAAACTGGTTTGTGTAATCATAACACTTTGGAATTCTGAAATGTAGGAATATTGTACAATAAGAGGTGATTTGTCATAAAAGAGCATTAATTTTTTCATTTGTTGCTGCACTATGTCAGCATCCTGTGACCTGGCAGCCATCTAAAGATGGAGATCGTTTAATTGGTCGCATTTTATTAAATAAACGTCTAAAAGATGGAAGTGTACCTCGAGATTCAGGAGCAATGCTTGGCTTAAAGGTATGTAATGAAATTTATGAAATTTTGTCTCCACATTCACTCCTTCACAGATTTAGGAGAAAAGTAAAAGGTATAATAACTGTTTCTACCTGTGCCAATTTAGTAGGTTTTTTATGATTTTTTTTTTCTATTTTCAAGAATTATCCTAAACTTTTTCATTCTGCTATGGTAATACTATTGTAATAGTATTATCTATAGTTTGCAAGTCAGGAAAATAATTTAAATTATGGTAAATTGGAATTATAAATAGAATGCTCAAACTTACTTTATCTATAAAATTTGTCCTTTTGAGTCTATTTTCTATGTTTATATTCTGTTAAAATAGTAGTTTTATTTAATTACTAAATATGCAAACTTGGGAATGGTAATATATGTATAACATTTTTGTGTTAATGTAGAAAAATACATGATTGTGTGAAAAAGTATAGTTTGAAGTCTGGAAACTCAAATATAATTATGTCATGAGATTAATTATAAATACTGATTAGTGTTGTAGTATAAAATATTAGGCAATTATTTGGTCAGTACACACAACAGAATTTTGTTGCATTTTTTGTATGTTTGGTATAGCCGCTTAAAAACTGAAATGAAAAAAGGTAAGTTTTAAAGTTAAACCATTGTTACACAAGTTATCCTCTAGAAGATATTATGCAGGAGATATTAGAAAACTTTTTTCATCATTGGATTGGGCAATTAACTTTTATTGTATGACTTCACATGACTGTACTCACGTTAGCATTTCATATTTATTATCTTATTTAGTCAATACATGAGAAATAGGCTTAGAGAGGTTGTGTAGTTTGCCCCTGGTCACACAGATGGTGACAGTGGTGGGATTTAAATCCAGATTGGCCAGTATAGTGTGTGAACAGTATGGTTTAGAGGTTAGACGATCCTGATTTGAATTGTAGTTACTACAGTTACTGACTATATGACATAGGATAACTAAAGTTCTCTTAGCTTCAAAGTCCTCATCTTTAAAATGGGGATAGTAATACTTTTTGGATTATTATTGTAAGATTAAGTGCAACAATATACAAACATTTAGTGCAGTGACTGGTACTCTATAAGCTTTCAGTAATAATTATCCTAATAGTATAATACTGATCAAACCAGGAAAGTTTATTTAATATTTATATAAAGATGTAAGCCCATGTGATCTATTCATTTAATTTTCAAAATCAAACAGGAATAATTAGTTAATGTTAACTGTATGGCAACTCAGTACAATTCACTGCAATTATGAAATAAATGTAGGGAATAAGATAAATCACTGGATTTTTGAATTCACATATTTTTCACACATTGTAGAAGAGAAAAACAATTTAGTTTAATCAATGAAGGTAGTTATTATTATTTCCTTTACTTGCTATAAAGGAGCTCTGGTGGCACAGTGCCTAAGGCATTTGACTGCTAACCGGAAGGTTGGTGGTTCCCTCCAGCCACTCCCATTGATAGAAAGATGGGGCAGTCTATTTCTGTAAAGATTTACTGCCGTGGAACCCAACGGGGGTCACTATGAGTTGGAATTGTCTCAATGGCAGTGGGTTTGGTTTTTTTTAAAAAAAACTTTCTATAAAGTTGATATATTGACTGAGTGAAACTTGATCAGAATCAAAGTATGATTTATTTAAGAGGTCAATATCTTAATAGGTATAAATATGGCTCCACAACATTATTGCTAACATGTTTTTTTTCTGTTCTCAATGATGTTTCAGTGTTGTTGATGTCACCTATGTGTGCACAGAACTGCTCAATAGGGTTTTCAAGGCTGTGAGCCCTCAGAAGCAGAGTCTAGGCTGTCTTCCAAAGTCCCTAGTAATCAAGCCTTTAACACTAGGGTTGGGGTGTAAATGGTCTAAATTTTACAGTAGTTCTGATGAGATTAAGTAACTTTTATGATTTCCTCAGAAAGGATTCACCATCACTGTGTACATTTATTAATGTGTCTAAAAAACTACTAATAGTGAAATTTTGGTAGTATATGTTAATTATAATCAGAGTCACAAATATTTACATTGTTATAATATTTGACATATCTATAAATGTTTGTGTAATTGTATAGTATAATAATGTGGGTTTTTTTTTAGAAATGACAGACATAAGAATTCTATATTAAGGACAGAAATTACAAATTGCTTTGTTGTTTCTAAAGTATATAACATTTTCAATAAGTAACAGATTAAATTGGAAAAAAGTTTAGAATATGTAAAAAGAGTCCACACTTAGAACATGTATTTAGTTCCTAATAACAACACTATATAATTTAAGAATGAGTATCAGGACATTAGCTAAAATTAAAACTTTAAAAGCTATAAGTTGCCTAGGTTTTTTTTTACTTGAATCTTCAACTATGTTCCTTTTGACAATAAGCCTATTTTAATACTTCCCTCTTTTAAACAGGTTGTAGGAGGAAAGATGACAGAATCAGGTCGACTTTGTGCATTTATTACCAAAGTAAAAAGAGGAAGTTTAGCTGACACTGTAGGACATCTTAGACCAGGTTTGTCTGTTTTGATTTTTTGCATTTTAAACTTAATTTGAGGAGTTTAATTTGAGGAGTTCTGAGAAAGAACTCCTCATTTAGTAATGATTTGGTAGTTACAGAGAACTCATTTAAGTAGGCATAAGTCTAATATGTCAATAAGGAAAAGTTGCATTTATTATTTCTTGAGTCATAGCATATAAAATAATTTTTTTATCTTTATTGATCTTATTTTTTATATAATGGATTTACCTAATCTGTATCTAGTACAGGAGCTCTGGTGGCATATCTAGTACAAGCCTATTTTGTTTCTCATACACTTTCATTTTTCTTTTGAAAAAATTCCACCATTGTCAGGAAACAAATTTAAATAAATGCATATTTCCTAGAATGAATCAACTCTGTTTCTTTGGTAATAAGTACTGTTGCAGAGATCCTTGAGTGCCTTGGAGAGGATTCTATAAAGTGTTAATTATAGAGCTTTTTACAAGAGTTTGTTGTTGTTGTTGTTAGGCCACTGGTAATCTTTAAAGAAAACAAGATGCTCAGCTGCTTACATATTGAAAAACCTAGAATACAGAATCAAGAAGTCTTCAGAATTGCAACTGATATGGACCATTGTCTATAATTAAAAATTTCTATTAAGAAATTGCTTAAAGATAAATTTTATGTGTTTTCTTTCTCTGACCCTTGCCCCTATTAAAGATTTCCCTTTGAGTGGAATACAGTGATCATCTTGATCATCAAATGTCATGCCACTTGAGCTATTCCCAATATGTTACTCTCTAATGTTGATTTTCTTCTTGGAGTTCATTGAACCTTTAAATTGCTTCTGTTTTAATGCCATTTTATGGGATTAGCTTTTCTTTCTAAGATTGTCATTACTGACACACACACTATAGGTGATGAAGTGTTAGAATGGAATGGAAGGCTATTGCAAGGAGCCACATTTGAAGAAGTGTACAACATCATTCTGGAATCCAAACCTGAACCACAAGTGGAACTTGTTGTTTCAAGGCCTATTGGGTAGGTTGGTGTCGGTACTTTATCCATGTATAAAGTTGCATACTAGTAAATAATTTGTACTGTGTAATGCAAAAATGTTTCATTGCTTTATGAGAGTAAAATTTTTGTGGGCAACAATGTTTTCTCCTTTTTCACCAAAAATACCTTGCCAAAAATCATAACATCTCTTTATCTGATCATATGAGAATATATATTTAATAATGAAAGAAGAAGAAATATTTAGATGTTTCTTACTATCACTATCTCAGCAGATGGTTGAAGGTGATGGTAGGTAAAGAGTCTGTTTCCTATGTCCTTAGTGTAGTAATAAATATTTTTAAAATAAAGGTAATGATTATGGCCTTCAGTTTGGTAAAAACTAGGGCTAACTATGTTTTAGGAATTTTACTTTGTTTGTTTTTAATTTCAAAATGAGAATTTCCACATAGGAAAGAGAGAGTAGGAGAATATATTATTTCCAGGTACAGGTAACAATTTAAGGAAAAATAACATGGATGAGTTAATACATAGAAAATAAACCAGCACCAAATTACTCTTTGCTTTTGTAATTTGTTACCTATAGATTAAATAGGAGCTCTGGTAGCATAGTGCCTAAGACACTTGACTGCTAACCAGTAGGCTGGTGGTTCAAACCCACCAGCCACTCCTTGGAAGGAAGGTTGGGCAATCTTCTTCGTAGTGATATACTGCGTCTGAAACCCAAGGAGGGGTCACTATGAATGAGGTCCAACTCGACAGCACATAACAACAACAACAACATAGATTAAATAGACAAATAGAAAACTTGGCATATGTATAATCCTTTGGGCCTATATAAGAATTACTCTTTAAATATCACAGCAGCACTTCTTCTATAGAAACTTATTTTCTAAGCCAAAGTAAAACATTGATCTATAACTAAATAAAAGCAATAACAAGAGCACTGACAGTAAATTATTAAATTCATATTCGAGATAACAGCATTCTAAGGTGGAGGCAACAGAAATTTTTCTCTGTTGTAAAATATTAATGCCCAATTCTCACACATTTAGGAAATGATTACTTTGATCTTTTTATGCTTCAGTAAATAACTTAAATTGATAACATGGTTTTATTAAAATGTGCCTTTCAAAGTAATGAATCTGGCATATGAAATTATATCTGCTTTTTATTTTGTCTTAAACTAATGTGGTAAACTGCAGTGTATCAGTTTAGTACAATAATCAACAATGTTGAATTACCCAATAAGCAAGATAAGCATGGGCTTATTTACTAATCTGTAGTGAACAATTTCACACTCCTTTACCACATGGAAGATTCTGCTCCTAGGTATGGCTGACATCTGTCTCTCTCCCAACCCCATAGCACCTTCCTACAGAATCAAAGCCTCTGGTCAAATTTACAGTCCCTGACAGGGATGGAATACCCAATATCTACCCCTGATAGTCAAATATGTTTCCTGGTATTAAGGAATCCTCAAATCATATTGTTGTTGTTGTTGTTGTTGTGTGCCATCGAATTGGACCCGACTTAATAGCGACTCCTCCTTGGATTTCTGAGGCAGTATCACTACGGAAGTAGATTGCCCAACCTTCTTTCCGAGGAGTGGCTGGTGGGTTTGAACCGCCAGCCTTCTGGTTAGCAGTCAAGTGCCTTAGGCACTATGCTACCAGAACTCCTCAAATCATATTATGTTTTATATTTAAAATAATTTATAAACTTTTATATCATTTTCTGAATGATTGTTCTGATTACCTAGTACTGCTCTGACAAGAATGTACCACAAATGGGATGACCTTAACAAACAGGAGTTTACTCTTACAATTTGGAGGCTTTAAGTTCCAGTTCTAAGTGACAGGCTGTAGGGGCTGGGTGGAAGCCCTTCAACCTTGGGGTCCAGCTCTGCCTCCTGCTCCCAGCCCACTGGATCTTGAGGCATTTCTTCACTCAGACAGCTGCTGGCTGCTGAGGCTGCCAAACCCAAGGTTGACAGGTAAAAAGGCACAGTCCCGATGATACCAAACCACACAGCAGGCCATTAATTTAAGTCCATTGTAAGTCCCAAGGTTGGCAGAGCATGGCAGGCTGCTGAACAATGCCATGGCTACATGCAGGGTCCAAGTGTGCCATAAACTAGAGACCATTCCCAAAGCTGCTTCTTATATATGAGAAACAGACCACATACCCAAAGCAGCTACTCAGCTGCTTGTGGTAGATCCCACCATGGAGCTGATTACCAATCTCATCATGGGAAATAACTACCACTAGCTGCCCAGCCACTCAACCAGGCCCAGCTAAGTTGACCCACAAACATAACCACCACAATGATCTTAACCATTAATATCTACTTGTTCTGACAATATCAAGCAAAAATGTGTACTTATTTAGAGTGTAAATGTAGGTAAAATGTAAATTTGCAAGTCCCAAGAAGAAACATGTTTACACTTTTCTCAGTAGAATTTCAATAGTTTCAATCATAGTCTCTAAACACTTAAACGTTTGTTTTGGTGATATTTCATTAGCATTTCAATGTTACTGATTTAGAACTACAGCAGGTAAAAAGAGAGAATATAATTAAAATATACTTGTAAAAGTTATCTTGAATATAAACATAATTTGAGAATAGATAATTTTGAAGTAAGGGAAAATAAAATATGTTTTTTTTCTAAGTATACTGCAGATGCCTAAGAATTTTAATTAATTGAATATGCCTCAAATACTTTTATTAGCTCTAATTTAAGGCTTACTTGTTTCTTGTTTATATACTATCACTGCGATATACAGTTTTTGTCGTTTTCACACTGTCCTCTTATAAGTTGATAACACTCAAAATAGCAATTGTATTGGTTTTGAAAGAGTTTTTTGTTTTCTTTTTCTATCCTTTCAGAGATATACCTAGAATACCTGATAGCACACATGCACAGCTGGAATCCAGTGAGTTTCATTTACGCTAGAAAATATGTTGTTAATAATATCATTTGTCAGAGGTCAAATGAAGTATTTTAGCTATTAGTACAAAGTAAGAAATATAATAATCTCGTTATCAAGTATTAAATTATGTAAAGATGGCAGATTTAGTTTTAGTTCATGTAACCATGGAAAAAAGTACAATATTTTATAATATTTTAAAATAGTATTTTTTTATACCTCACAGGTTTAATTGCTATGGATTTTTAAATAACTTTATTAAGGTAAAATACAATGGCTTGTGCATATTTAAAGTGCACAATATTTGAAAATTTTGACATACATTTTGAAACCATCACCACAATAAAAAATAATAAATATATTTGTCATCTCTAAAAGGTTTATTCCCCAGAATTTTCCCAAATTGTAAGTTTTGGTACTTTGTAACCTAACATGTCCGGAGCCCTGATGGTGCAGTGGTTAAGCACGCGACTGCTAAACCGAATGCTTGGTGGTTCAAACTCACCTACTCTCAGGAAAAAGCTGTGGCAATCTGCTTCCATCAAGCTGACAGCTTTGGAAACCCTCAGGGGCAGTTCTCTGACCAATAGGATCATTATGAATTAGAACTGACTTGACAGCAATGGGTTTAACCTAACATGGAGATTCAAACCCACCAGCTGGAAGAAAGGTTGGGCAATCTACTTCTGTAGTGATACTGCCTTGGAAACCCAAGGAGGAGTCACTATGAGTCCCGTCCACTCGAAGGCAGTGGTTGCGTTGTGTTGCATAGTTGGAAATGCTTGGAATAAAGTACTGAAAGATTACATTTATTCTAATTTATATTTTTGGAGCTGGGGGTTCAAACTCACGAGCCACTCCTCGAAAGGAAGATTAGGCAATCTGCTTCTGTAGAGATACTGCCTAGGAAACTCAAGAAAGGGGTTGCTATGAGTCTGAAAGGACTCCATGGCAGTGAGTTTGGTTTTTGGTTGGGTGGGGTAACAGCTCTTACTGTTTATTAGATTAGATTATTAATGGAATAGACATAATTATTGTTCGAACAAAAATTCAAACAATGTCAAATACATGAAAGTTTTTTCTTACGTTTTAGGTGTCAAACAGATGTGTTCTATCTCATGAACTAAGCGTTTAGATTCGTAGAGATTAGAGTGAGGGCTATCAGGAGAGAGGAAGGAAGGAGGTTTACATTTTTAATAGATTGGTCAGGATTGACCAATTCAGAAGGAAGGATTAGAGCCAGATTTGAAAGAATGGTATCTGGAAGAAAACCTTTCCAGGAAGAACCGACTAGTGTGATGGATCTCAGGCAGGAAAGCCTAAGATGGATTTAAAGAAAAAGCCAGGAGGCTAGTTTGGTTGCGGAGGTGGGAACAATGGTGGGACAGGAAAGGGGGACAGAGGAATAATGGGTGGTCAAATTCCATAGGCTTTGTGAGCCACTGTAAGGACTTGGTTTTCACTCTGAGAGAAACTGGCAGCTGTATGAGACAGTTTTAAAGAGATCGATGAGAACATCGTCTTAATAACCTAGAGGGGAAAAGATGGTGACTTAGACCGTGGTAGTAGTAAAGAAGGTGGTGAGAAGTGATTGAATTCTCTACACATACAATAATTGAGAAATACTATGATAATAGATTTCTTTTTTACTTTTATATTTACAATTATAATTATTCATTTCTTTAAAATCTTTACCAAAAATGTGTAGCTTTTTTGCAATGGCATAGCTTTATACTTCAAAATATTGTCACGTATTTGAAATGTTATGGTGAAGAAAATGGTCTATATAATGATATTTTGCCATCATTTTTAAAAATAAATAATTTTTAAAATGTGAAGATTATTAAATACTAATGAAGAGCCACTGTTATTATTTTTTATGTACGATTATCATTTTAGGTTCTAGCTCATTTGAATCTCAAAAAATGGATCGTCCTTCTATTTCCGTTACCTCTCCCATGAGTCCTGGCATGTTGAGGGATGTCCCACAGTTCTTATCTGGACAACTTTCAGTACGTAATCCGAATGTAATTAATTCATTTTTTTTTTTTTTTTTTTGTGAATGTCAAATAGTGTTTTTAATATATGATGCTAGGTTTTTTTATTTTTTAAACCAACTTCTTCCTACAACATAATTGTGCTTTTAACCATCAACTTTCTTGTTTCCAGTCATTTTAATTAATTTAAATTTTGTTTTCATTGATTGACATTAAACTTAGGTTTTCTGAGATTTAGTCAGTTATATTTTGTGAGGATATTTAAATAATTTCTTTAACTATCATTAATATTATTCTAAAATTCAAAATCATGGTCTTAGCTCTATACCTTAAAATGACTGTAAGCTATCATATTTAGAAGATAATTAAAAATGCTTGTGCTATACAAAGATGAAATTTAAGGAAAAATATAGATATTTTATACTTTTCAACCTTAAGGAAATATGGTGCTTTGAATAATGGTCTGAATTATAAATATATTAGATAAGATTTTGTCAAGCGACAAAATCAGCTCAATGGTGAAATATTTCATAGATTTATGAGTATACCAGATGATTTCACATTTCATGATACTTAATTTGATCACTTTTCAATAAAAGTTAAAAATCATGTCCAAAGTAGAAAAGCTTTGTAAATTTTAGCCTTCTCATTTAACAGAACACATTTGATAAAAGCAGATTTCACCATTTGTTCAGTTATCATGCCTTATTAATAATTTTTATATATTCATATATTTAAGTGTATTTAGTTATATATCACAAATGCATTGCTTAATATTGCCAGTAATACTGATGAGTTACTATACTTGACATATTATGAATATTAAGTTCTCAAAATCCAAACACTGAATATCAGATGAAAAACGTTATAGTTGAAAAGTAAACTGTTCTTGTGCTGATATTTTAACAGCACCAGAAAAAAGTTTTTAAAGAAGCTTTGAAATTTCTCATTTTATTGTTTTGGTGGAGAGAGATAAACTTGATTTTTACTAAACTATTTTTCTGTAGTGTGGAAAGAGTTGTAGAATGTATAAGCAAAATTAAATACTGAACATTATTGAAAAAGTGATTAGACATCGCTGTACTGGCAATATTTTGATCACAAATGTGATCGTGAAGATATTCAGGAGAGAAGATGAGATTTTAGTAGGATATTTTAAATGTCATACTGAAATGAATTTCTTATTATTTTATTTTCCTTTCTCTTTCATTAACAGAGTGGGCTTTTTCATTTGAGGACAATGGTCTTTTTTGTATTCACCACAAGAAGTAGCATCTTTCTGTTTATTTTCTTACAAATATTGACAGCAGAAATGTTGTCATTTACAGAGTTACAAATGTAGTATGTATTTGCTTCTACCAACCTAGAAAGTGTTCATACATGGTAACTTATTTTTTTATTTATGATCTCATCAGATAGTACATTTTAAAATAATACTCCAGGTAGCTGGATCATACCAGTAAATAAATAAATTCATCTGTGTGTGTGTTTGTGTGTACATTTAGTTGGACTGAGTTGGTGGAAGAGGGAGGGGAAGTTAGTTTTCCATAATAAGTAAGTACCACTTTATCTCATTTGAAATCCCAAGGCCCTGTGAGAAACTGGACTAGGAAGAGGGCTTGAGGAGTATAATAAGGGTTTAGATTTTTGGAAATTCAGCTATTTTTTCTAATGGTTCAAGACCGATATAGTACATTATGAAAGTATTAAAAACTATGTATATGAGATCGAATTGACAATGGCAACTCGAAATATTAGATAGGAACTTTAGTGGGCAGTGAGTTTATGCTCATGAGGGAAGAGTAACTTAGGAAAGGAAGGGTGAGAATGATTGCACAACTCGAAGAATGTAGTCAGTGTGGTTAAAATGTACATGTAGAGGCTGTTGGTAAGTGTTTGCTGTACATAAACTCAACTAAAACAACAAAATAAAATTTAGAAGGCAAAAAAAGGTTTCACTTCTAAATGTGTATATAATTGTATGAAGGTACATCCTTTAGATTTATAAATAGTGTTGGTTTAAAATCCATGTAATAATAATTTAAAATGATTCTCATTTTATAATTTTCTAATGACTTATAAGGAATGTATTCTAGTATGATAATGATAGTAAAATTTTAGCTTTTAGATATTAATAGTAAAAGTTTTAGCTTTTACTTTTTGAAATTATATATATGTATATATAACATCACTTTCTGGTTCAAAATATAATACATTTTTATTTGAGAAACTTGGTAAGCTCAGCAAATAAAAATAAAACCACTGTAATTCTGCCATTAAGATATAAGCATTCATACATAGAAGTTTCAAACAAATTTGGGTTAATTCTGTGCATTATATCTTGGAGCCTGCTTTTTCACTTAGTAACGTAGTATGAACTTTTTTCTCCCTTTAACAATTCCTCTTAAAAATGATAGCTATTTAGTATTCCACTTAATTCTCTATTATATGATATCTTGTTTGTTTCTAATTTTGTATTATTATAAATGATGCTATGGAAATATAAATCTTGAATATAAATATAAATCTTGCATATTTTTGTTAGGGCAAAAATGTTTTGTCAGGATAACTTTCCAAAAATAAAATTACGATATAAAAGGAAAAGAAATATTTTATGATTTTTTTGATATCTGTTGCCAAATTTTCCTAAAAACAAAAATGCTTTTATCCATTAAACTCCAATCATTAAGAAAAATGTGTTAAATTCTAACCCCAGGCCATACACAGTGCTAGGCAATGGGAATACAACCGTGAACAAGATATGTGTGGTCCTTACCCTCATGACATTTATTAATTTTATCTTATCCTTTGTATCCAGGAAAGCATAAACAAGTTGCCTTCCTGGATGTAGTATTTCTCTCCATATTCAGCCCTGTCTCTGCTGGCCTAGTCAGTTTGGTTTGCTCTAGTGTTGTAGAGGTTGGGAAAATACGTTTCTGTATGTCACCCCCAGGGAAGAAACCCTAGGAAGTCACAAAGCAGCATTACAATCTCGATCTCCTTCTTTTCTACCTTTGGTCACTTTTTGCTGTTGGTGAGAGTTTACTTAGGCTTATACTTCTCATACAAAATCCTGACATTACTGATAAAAACTTACTGAGAACAAGGAAACTTTGTATAGAATGTGAGCTGACCTTTCTAATATATTTATATCAATGTATTGATATTTTTCTGAAGTAGAAAATACTCACAATGTAAATTTGTTGTTTAAATTTTCACTCTTAAGCTGTTTTGAAGATTTAAAAAAAAAAAAATGTAAGCAATACATTTTCTCTCCATGCTGGAATGCTGCTGCTGCTTGTCTTTATTCTAGGGCATAATCACGCAAGGGCCAGTAATGCACTTTGTGAAGAAATCAGCTGGCGCTTGAGTGTATGCCGCCTGAGTTCTATGAGAGCCCTTGCAGTGTCAGCATTCCTGTATAGTCATTTGTGTGTGTGTGTGTGTGTGTGTGTTCTTCCACAATTTAACCATTTACTTCTTTAGAGGATTACTTTTTTAATTCTCTCAATATCCTTTAATTAATCTATCCCTTTGGTTAGCTTTTTGGTAGAGTGTTCAATAAATCATGTAGCTTCAATACTTTTAAAAGGCAGGAAAGGCTCATGGATTCTTATTGACTATCATATTTTATTTCACTTCAGGGTTTGTGTTGATTTAGGATTGCAGTGTTTCCCCATGTTATTTTGTTTTAAAATTTTCTCACTATATTTTTAGTTATTAAGTTTGTAAATATTGTAAATATCCATTTTATAGGTCTGGTTAAGGGGAATAAGGAACTGAGGAATAGTTGGGTGTCCTCTTAGAAACATTTTTAAATTTTCTGTAAATTATTATTTTTTTCTTTTTAGCTTGTATCTTATACACCTCTACCACAACCTTGTTATTCCAGAAGCATTGCATGACAGGAATGTCCTAAAGATGATAATGCAGTATATAGTAGGAAGTGACATTAAAAATGCAAAGTAAATTATGATACACAATTAAAATTCTTCATTTGTATGAAGCTTAGATTGTTACAGATATTATCAGATCTTTCATGCTTAAAATAAATGAATTAATGTAAGTTATGATGAGACACATAGTACTTTACCTTCCTAATAATGATTTTCTTTATTAAATTACCCAAAATAATATGTTTATGTAGCCAAATATAATGTATAATAAACTCATGGGTGAAGATAAGGTTTAACTTGCCATAGGCTTTAGAAGGTTGATTTCAGAAATCTGTGGGTTGGTTGAGACAATTTTAGAAGACAGAAAAATGTTTGTCTTAAAGGATTTTATTTTACAGTGGTATTTTAAACAAATCCTTTATTTTATGAATACATAATATTTATTTGCAAAAATCTTCAGTTATTCTAAATATTTTTCGTCTAAAACAGGTAGAATGGGTGAGAGGTCAGGAGAACTAAAATCTCTTTCAAAATAAGCAGGCTTATCATTTCTGTCCCCCAGTATGCCTAGTTAATGCCTAGTTAATAGCTGATATGCTTTTTTTTTTTCCATTTTGAAGAATCACACTTAATTAGAGGTCTAATTTTTGAGACAATCTCTCTCCACTCATTAGCATTCACATAACAACTACACCAAGTGTATTTTGCTAATCTCTGAATGTCATCCATCCCTTTCCCCATTTGCTGAAGAATTATCCAACCTATAGTTTCCCAGATATCAGTAACAACCTCAACCTCTGGACGTTTCTGCCTTCCTTTGCTAATGTCTCCACACAAAAAAGGAAGACAGCTTATATTTGAGACTCCCTTGGTTTTTGATTTGTGTAATTGAATGATAGTGTTTAACACTTTCCTTTGAATTTTGGATTAGTGTCTTAAGGAGTGTCTGTCTGACGGGCAATAGTCCTTTTGGTACCCATTATGTGTTTCCGTATAGCAGTGGTAAAGTGGGAGGCCTTTAGCTGTTCATCATTCTTTGAATTAGGCAAGAAAGATACTCATGAGAAATGCCAGAGATGAGATGGAATGTAGGTGAGAGATGTTGTTGTTATTTGCCGTCGAGTCGGCCCCGACTCATAGTGAGCCCTCCTTGGGTTTCCGAGGCAGTATCACTACAGAAGTAGGATTGCCCAACCTTCCTTCCGAGGAGTGGCTGGTGGGTTTGAACCGCCAGCCTTCTGGTTAGCAGTCAAGTGCTTTAGCCACTATGCTACCAGAGCTCCCGTAGGTGAGAGAAGCAGAGGTAAATGTCTTGAAATTCTTCCCCAATCTCAGGGACTTGTATCTGATTTTGCTCATGATTTAACTGTTGGCATTTCTTAATGAAGACATACATATTTTAGGTGTGGTTGTCTCTTTTGGAAATTGTTCAAAAGTGAAAACAAAACAAAGCAAAAAGTCAGCAGAGAAACAAAACTTGATTTTAGTCTGAGAATTTGAAATGGAATAATTTACTCCAAATAGCTCTATTTTCCTGCCTTTATGCTGTCTTGCTTTTTGGATTATTGTGAACAAGTAAAATAGCCTTTCTTTTTTAATATCTCTCTTTCCTTATCTACCAAATGAGTATAATAGCAACTACCTCCTAGGATTTTAAGGAATATCATAAACTTGAAAGTTATGGAAAAAATATAAAGAATTATATAAGAAATGAGATACTGTGATTAATAGATATGATTAGCAATAAACAGTGTTTTCCTATATGGTACAAAATAAATGTCTGAAGATGGTGTTTAAATATTAGAACCTGGTATAGATTCCCAAAGTGTGAACTAAATAATCAATTCAGTGCATTATAGCATACTTCTATCTTGCTGTGTTTATTCTTTTAAGAAATCGTAAAGTCAACTTGGCTAATATTTTGTGGACTTTTGTGAGATTTAATTATTTTGGAAAAGTCACAATTACTTGCACAGATGATTTTTTTACTAATACTAGTATAAAGGAGCCCTGGTGGCACATTGGTTAGGCACTCGTCTGCTAACCAAAAGTTCCGCAGTTTGAACCCACCAGCCCTTCGCAGTAGAAAGATGTGTGCTTCCATAACAACTGGAAACCCTACGAAGCAGTTCTACTCTGTCCTACATAGGGTTAGTAATGATTTGGAATTGACTCCACGGCAGTGGAGGTATAATAAATAGTCAAATTTTTGGAGTGTGGTTATTTTTATGCGATGTGAAGGGTAAAACCTGAAATTTTTTGACTCTCAGATATGTTTACAATCATTCAGAGTATACAAGCACACATATGTTCTTTTACAATCAGTCTTAATTCCTTTATGCTGAATACATTTTAAAAATCTGATTGAATGTTTTCTAACACTTTACATTCTTTTTATGTATTGTAGCATTTTGACAAAATTAATGTATTCATTACATTGAAGTATTTAATTTAGATAAATATTGTTATGGAAAAGTTGTACTTAAGGGATAGTTGTATGTGTTTGTTTTACTTTTGGTCTTTTAGTTCCAGCGTGTTGTCCTTTTGGTTTTGTTTTATTGCTTTTTTCTTTAATTTTGCTTACCAGAGCCAAAGCCTTAGTAGAAGAACAACGCCTTTTGTTCCTAGGGTTCAGGTAAAGGCCTTGTCTGCCTGATAGAAACTACAGTTGTGTTTTTACCCTTATTTGTATGTTTTTGGAAAATGCGTAGTAGGAAAACATTTTTTTGGTATGTGCTCCAAACCATATTATTGACTTTCAAATCATTATAAGAGCCAGCTTGTAAAATTCTGCATGAGGATTAAAATACTGAATAAAAATTTAAAGAGACAAATTTTGTTAGTGACTTTATGTGATGAAATGAACACTCAAACTCATGGGTTTCACAGTGACATTTAATGTAGATATGTGGATTCCACTTCCTTATGTCATGTTTACAGAAATAGCTATTCCATGCTGCTGATATTTTCCTTTCTTATATGACGTTTTCTGTCTCTTTAAATCATTCATTATATCACTTACCATTTACATTCTCTTGCATTTTCCAAGCAACAACTCCTTGAGGAGACTGGCAAATATATTTGTACCTTATCTAAAATATGAATTTTGTGTATATTATATACAAGATTCAACTTCTGTAAAGTATATTACTTTGAAAGAACAAAATAGCAATCCAAATAAAATGTATTGGGTTTATTCTGTTTCCATGTTGTCACGGTAATTCCATTTAACTTTACTGTAATACTTGGGTACAAGTTGTTTGCCTCTTTTCATTATGAAACCCCTATATGGTTAAGTAATATAAATATAGCTCCCAATGTAAATACAGTTGTTTTAAGAAAAAGTAGTACTATGCTTTCCTTGCTTTGCTGCATGGGTTTCTTTTTTTCTATTTTGTTGATTTTGATAATGCTAATTTTGTTTAAATTTTAAAAATTAAATTTCTTCTGCATAATATTATACAGCATAAAACACTTACCTCTACTATTTATGTTTTGCTTAGGAAAATTGAAAATGATTACATGGTAAAGTTGAAATGATAATTATATTAAAACAACTAAAATGATATCAAGATGTTAATATTAAGAAAATTGAGATATAACAAAAAGTATGCCGAGTCTCGGACTGTGAAGATGCATTTATCATATTTTGGGGAATCAGCAGATATATTTTAATAATTCATTTAAAAAGCGCAAATAAGAATTTTAGAAATGTGATAAAATAACAAATAATAGAATTCATTTTTGTTAATGTGAAATGGATATCTATCAAAAACTTCAATGTAAGTCCTCTATAATGGAATAAAAATCAGAGCTATTGATCAAATGCTCAGTATAAGACAACTTATTTTTAAAAATATCATTTTGATCAGTAAAATTAAAATGTACCCATTTCCTACCTGAGATATTTTTATAACTGCATATTTGTGAAGTATAATTTAATATTCTGTCAAGTATAAAGGCCATAAGCCTAATAATCTGTTTTTATAAGAAACAGATCATATTAATAAGTCATATTTTTGGTTTCCATGGCATAAGAAAATCTGAAATGAATACTTGAGACATTTATCTCCAGTGTTCAGTTCTAATGGTTTTAAGGGAGCAGAAGAGTGTTGCTTATGTAGCTCATGAATATTTAGTCTCCATCCCTCAAAAGGTTTTTACAGAGGAAATAATTTTCTACAGTAATTATGAACTTTATTCTGATAATGAAAGTGATTATTATTTATATGCTTCTTAAATGTAAAGTTTATTGAAATAATTTTTTTTTAGCCTTTTGTAATCTTTTCCATTTATGGTACTTAGTGTCCCAATTCTCAGAGAAGTTTATTTAATATCATGGAAGAAGTAAAGTCCTAAACTCTTTTATTACTTTAAAAATAGAGACTGTCATACGATCTTGTTTTGGTCACACATATTCAAGGAACCGTAGAGCTCCCTAACATGTCTATTTCATCTCACATAAAATGAGACACCCCTCATTTCTGTGTTTTCCCCTCATGCTTTTTGCCAGAAAAATAGTTTAGTCTTTCATTTTTCTCTTATACTAATCTAGATCTATGTTCTAACATGTTAGACAAGCAAACACATGAAGTGTTTCTTTCAAATAATAAGAAATTTGTTTTTCTTTCACAAGGTACTTATCCCTTAGTCCTAAAGCAGTGGTTCTCAACCTTTAGTGCCCGAGAGAATCATCTGGAGGAGCTGTTAAAATGCAATCCATTCTGATTCAGTAGGTGAAGGTGGACCCTGAGAATCTGTCGTTTTTTGTTAACTAAGCCAGGTGGTACTGATGTAGGGGTTTGTGAACCTCGTTTTGAAAAACATCTGTCTCGGGTCTCTTTGTTCTTAGCAGATGTATTAGAAATTTTTTTTTAGTTAACGCAATACCTGTGCTGAGCATTAGAACTTAAGGGAACATAAAGATTAGTAATTATGATTTTTAAAGTTTGGATATTTTTTCACTATTATTCCGATAAAAGGGCTAACTCCATTTGGCAAAAAAGAAAGAAAGGAAAAAGAAATGGATATAAATAATTTTATGTAGACATCGGTCTTTTCTGAGCCATGTCCTCCTCTTCAGACTCAAAAACCTCCTTTTCTAGGATATGCAGTGAGGGACTCAGCAAAGCCATGTTGGACTTGGAACTGAGCTACCAATGTTTAATGGCTAGCCGAGATTGTTTCTCACTGTCATTCCTAAATTCCAAATTTTCAACTCAACTTCAGATTCAGGGTAGTGATCACAAGTGTACTAAGCCCTGAACCACATTATCACAGATCTCAAAATAGTAGAATTAACTGGCTAAGTGTGAAAGTAGAGACAAGAGTGTGTGAGGAGTGGGGCCACTGTTACAGGAATTCAGCAGCTGCCTGCTAACTATGGCACAGGGAAATGATTTACATTTTCTCCTATCACATTTCAAAATGCGCTCTATTGTTCTAAGCATTTGATACTTTGCTTCACCAAAAAAAAAACAAACAAACAAACAAACAAAACTTTATGCCTATATAAGAAAAATTTATACAAGATACATTTATTTTAAATTTAAGTATAGAGTGCAGGAGTCTATTGACTAAAGCTACTAGGAATGACCCCTTCCTTATAATCTTTGAAATGTCTTTTGCTATGGAATAATAAAACATTTGCTTAAAAATTCCCTATGTATGCTATGTAAATTTGGATCTGCTCATTCATTTTGAGTACTTATTCTAAACTCAGTAATCAAGATGAACAGCAGTGATTCTCATATAAAGAAAAATATAGAGCATTCATTGCATATAATGCCCTTAGTTATGATTTTATATTCATTTATTATTATGTGCATGTTAACAAGCAATCAAATTAGGATAAACAAAAAGCCCAAGAGACTGATCAATCAAACCAAACTATCTGAATTGACTCTTCTATTCATTGAAGTTATTATAGCATATCCTTTTATTTTAACTAACCACAATTTACTAAGTGAAATTTAAATTCTGTGCTAATATTAGTGTAAAACATTGGGAAAGAGTTTGGAAATGTAAACATTATCATATAACAGTAAATATTTTAGTTGATAAATTAACATTTTTGCTTTTCAGATAAAACTGTGGTTTGACAAGGTTGGTCACCAATTAATAGTTACAATTTTGGGAGCAAAAGATCTCCCTTCCAGGGAAGATGGGAGGCCAAGGAATCCTTACGTTAAAATTTACTTTCTTCCAGACAGAAGGTAAGGATATGAAGCAAAAATAAATATTCTTGGAAATATGTGGGGAAATGCTAATACTGGTGGCTATTTCAAATCTGTCTTATTTATATTTCTATAGCATGATAGTCAAATACTTTTGAAGTTTTATATAAACACAAAATCTTTTAAGATTCAAAATATGTGACAGTAAGTAGTTTAATGATTGTTGTGTTTGATGTTATGTTCCTTGTTTAAACATATCAAATGTTTATTGTATATATTGTTTTATATGTATGCATCTGTGGATTATTATTTGAAAAATGTGAATAATTATCAAAATAATTTGTTATGTGCCATTGTTATGTGCCATTGAGTCGGACCCGACTCATAGCAACCCCTGCTTGGGTTTCCAAGGCAATATCACTACAGAAGTAGATTGTCCTATCTTCCTTCCGAGGAGTGGCTGGTGGGTTTGAACCGCCAGCCTTCTGATAAGCAGTCAAGTGCCTTAGGCACTGTGCTACCAGAGCTCCTATGCCCTTTTAAATCAAATACATTTTAACAAAAACTACAGAAGCAAAAAACTAGAAATAATACTAAAAGGGACTCATCATATTCCACTGCACTTTTTCCCTCATCTTACCAAGATGTTATTCTGTATATTCTATAAAAGTAGCACATGTGCTTTGTTTTCTATCACTCCATATCACCAAGGAAACTTTTATACTGGACTCTAAACCAACTTCTTCAACTATCATTTGTTTTATGTCCATTCTAATCAATATAAAGGACATTGTTCTGTCCTGAAGTAAATAGAGAAATTAGATTGGAGAAAAAATATAACAAAAGTTCTCTAACTACTCTTTATTTCAAACACATAAAAAATAAGGGACTATTCTGATGGCATAGTGGTTAAAGCATTTCACTGCCAACCAAAAGGTCAGGGTTCAAACCCACCAGCTGCTCCCACAGGAGAAAGATGAGGCATCTGCTTCTGTAAAGAGTTATAGTCTTGGAAACCCAATGGGGCAGTTCTACTCTGTCCTGTAGGGTCGGTCTGAATTGCAATCGACTTGATGGCAGTGGGGATTTTTTTAATTATTTATAGGTGTCATGAAAAATAAGGACGTAATGGCACCAATTACCCTTTTCCTAGCTGTTCTTTATCCCTGACTTCCTGGAGGGTGTTCTCAAGGTCTGGCCGTTTTTTTCTTAAGTCCTAAGTGACTGGCCACAGATGTGATCTTAAATCATATTTGACTACTTATGGATCTTCATTCTCAGGTCCTTAGTTCAAATAAAAAGTCATAAGCATTGAGTGCTAGAGTATCATCTGAACAGTAATACAGAAAAGAAAAGAATGAATGGAAGGAAATAGACAGTAGTAGCAAAGACCTTACATTTTATTTGGATGCATATTTTGAAGTGAATTCCTCAAGATGTGTCAAGGTGTCACAGTATCTAGGCGTTAGAAACTGTTTGCTATAAAATTTTATCTTAGAAACTTTGCTTGAAAAAAGTTGTTCTCTAGCAACTTAAGTTGTCTTTTGCAGAAGGACACACTTGGAACTGTAAGAGAGAAAGGGGATGTTCTGTAACTGTTGTTAGTTGCCATTCAGTTGATTCTGTTAAGTTTAGCCTAAACTTCCATTGGATGACAGATGTCACAGCCAAAGTACCCAACCATCTTAGTCAGTTAAGTCACATGTCTTCTTAGAGCACGTATGGCTTTTTAGTCTTAGCATCCTTGGAAAGCGTGGTAGAAATCTGCAGAAAATGCTGCATTCCCATATATGTTTCTATGCACACACATAACTAAATTTTAGTTCGATCACTCAAACCTTTGAAGAGAAATAATTATTTTTAAAAGAAATGATAAAAGTTTCCAAAATCACTGAATTTCTTTATGAACTAGATATTATTGTGTAGTTTTATATTCTTTTACCTAATCCCATCCCTGCTTTCTGAGCACATATTATGGGACCAAATGAAAGTGAGGCTCCCACTAACTATTCCTTTACATTCCACATGTCTTATTTTTACCTTTTTTTCAAAATAAAGTACGTGAGAATTACTTGCATATTTATTCTTAGTTTATTTCTCAACTGAGTTTCCTTGTTTAATATCAGGAATTTGAAGAATATTTAGGCGAATTATGTAGCTTACTTTGTTGATGGGGTTGTGCCAGTGTTTTGTTTTTAACAGAGAAAAGTATTCTTTGGTTAGCTCAAGTCATCATCTCAAAATATGGTGCTGAGACAAATTTTGCATACAAATAAAGGGTTATTTGTGCTGTGCTTTTGATATGAATTATTCCATGTTTCTGGACAAGTTTTCTGGAACAAAAACTACATGAACAGTTAAACATGAGAAAATATTTGATAGCTTTTTATCGGTAAGAATTCCCAGAGAGGAAAGTGAGACTACATAGAAGAGATCAAGTTTAGCCTGTCAGTTAAGCAATTCAAAAAATTATTACTTTGTACTCTAAAAAAAACCTGAGCATATTGTGTATTCTTTTTTATATCTTGAAGTAAATTTGGTTACTAGTCAAAATATATTTCTTTTTGTTTTGTTTTGATTAAAAGCATCAACTTCACATTCTTTTATGAAGTTAAATTAAATAGAGACCTAGATTTTGAGTGAGCAGATCAAATGTACAGGTAATATACAAAATTAAATATATGTGTTCTGGAAATAGATGAAAGCTTTGGATTACTCAAGTCAAACATTTTATGATAAACATTAAACCCTAACTCTAGTAGGAGCAACAGTGTCATAGTGCCCTGATTCAGACCCCTACCTCTTCCTTAGTTTTCTCTCCTTCCTAAACCATCCTGTGCTGAGAGAATTTATGAGTGAACAGTGGTCCAATTAGAGTTCATTGTCTGTGTGCTTCTTACTTCAAACAAGGCCCCCCTAGCCAAGAGTCTGCAGTGATACCCAGTAGACTTCATCAATCTAGTTTTGCCACTAAGGGGCAGATGGCTTAAATTTTCCTTCTTAGATGATTACATTTATTCCATTTAGCCATTGATCCTCCCTCATAAGTTAGTGACCTTCAAAACAGAATGGATGGAGCCTAGAGGATGTTTGGGCAATGCATAAGGATTCAGTAAGGGATATTTTATTTATCTCATTTTTAATTTGTTTTTGTATATTTCCCTGCGTACATGATATATTAATACTTAGTATAGTAATACATGCATATTCAGGAATATTCAGTGATAAAAATGTGCAATTAAAATATGTTTCCAACCCACATTATAGTGGCTATCTCACACAGGAGTGATTTTACAGTGTTTTTAAAGGTATGATATATGTTAAAAATACAGGTCTATTTCTTGTGTGTCATAAAGTAACTTGATAAAATGTGAATCATAATTGCTTGTTAGCTAAATTATAGAGATATGAAATTGTGACCATCACAATTTACTGGACCGTTTGTAGAATACAATTTCTGTAATTTAACTGTATAGTGTATGCAGTATTACTGTCTAATCACCATTTTAACTATTTGAAATAGAGCAATATTGGAAATGAATAAATTTTAAAAATTTAGAGTTAATATTCCCCCTGTCAGATTTTATTTAGATGTTGAGAAAGATTTTAGTTTTCAATGATTTATAAGGAGTAATTTCAGACTTGCTCATATATTGCTACTATGAAGACACTTACAAATGATAATATAATTATATGCCTTATAAATTTTAATACTTATTTTAAAGGTTATAATTCTTGTAATTTTATGGAAAATTTCTAAAACTTTGACTTCTCTCCTGAGAAATTTTAAGTAAATAAAGTTTAGTATAAAACTTAAAGATTGATATATAAGTTCATACATTGCTTTAATTTTTTTTTCATAGTGATAAAAACAAGAGAAGAACTAAAACAGTAAAGAAAATGTTGGAACCCAAATGGAACCAAACATTCATTTATTCTCCAGTCCATCGAAGAGAGTTTCGAGAACGAATGCTAGAGATTACCCTTTGGGATCAAGCTCGAGTTCGAGAGGAAGAAAGTGAATTCTTAGGAGAGGTATCTCGAATTATTTTCAGGCTTAGATTATGCATGCCATCCTGAATACTTTTGTTTATATGACTAGCAGTAAAATTTTATATTTTAAGTATCTGAAAAATAAGCATACTTATTTTAATGGGAAGAATTTAGCTACTGCTTTAAAGCAAAACTTATTGATGCCATACAAAACATAGAAATCTCAATATTGAATATTAAAAATAACTTTATATATCACAAATATAAATTTATATTGTTTATATTGTTGTGTACAATATTGTATTTTTACATTTATAATATTTGTTGTATGTTAGTTTACTGAACCAAAAGAAAACAAACCAAACTCACTGCCGTTGAGTCAATTCTGACTCTTAGCAACTTTGTAGGGCAGAGCAGAACTGCCCCATAGGGTTTCTGAGACTATAAATCTTTACAGAAGCAGATTTTCAAATGTTTCTCCTGTGGTGCAGCTAGTAGGTTTGAACTGTTGTCCTTTTGTTAGCAGTTGAGTGCTTTAACCACTCTGCCCCCAGAGCTCTTTACTGAACCAAAACTGGACCACTTTTAGTTTAAACATTTATTCATGGACTATTTTTATTTTTTGTTATTGTTCTTGAAAATACACAGTAGAATATATACCAGTTCAACAATTTCTACATATACAATTCAGTAACGTTGATTATATTCTTCAATTTGTACAACCATTCTCATCCTCCTTTTCCTTATCTCTCCTCCCTCTTTAATATAAACTCACTCCTCCCTTAGTGTGTCCTATCTAATCTTTCAAGGTGAGATATTATTGTCAACTTTATCCCATATAAACCAAACTCACTGTTATTGAAATGTTCCCAACTCACAGTGACCCCCATTGGGTTTCCGAGGTGGTAAATCTTTACAGAAGTAGATAGCCAAGTCTTCCTTCCACAGAGTGGCTGGTGGGTTTCAACCAGCAATCTTCTGGTTAGCAGTCAAATGCCTTAGGCGCTATGCCACCAGAGCTCCGTTTTATCTCATATAGATAGTTCAAAGAGTTTAAAGCGCAAGGCAGACAATCTTTACTAATTGAGCTAATAAGCTATTGTTTGACTTAAAGAAGACTTCAGGGGTTAATTTTGGTTTAAGATTTAAAGATTATCTCAGGGCAATAGTTTTGGGAGTCCAGCCAGTCTCAGTGGCTCCAGAGAGGCTGGACGCCATGAGAATTTGAAATGCTGTTCAGAATTTTTTCCCTTTTGAGCAGGATTTTTCTGTCTTTGATCAAAATATTCACTAATAGTAACCAGTCATCATCCAATTTATTCAAGGATTATTTTTTAAGCCCTAAAATGGGCCAAATACAGGATTGAGGCTCCAAAGGTGAATAAGACATATTACTTCCTTCAAGGAATTTTCTGTCTACTGGGGATTTGGACAAGTAGATAGATGATTATAATATATCGTAGTAAATGCTATAATGGTAAAATGTAAGAGGAATGCATACTGTGCATGCAGGGGAGAGGAGGTGGTCCAGGCAAGGCTCCATAAAGAAAGTGGAAATGCTAAATAAAGGGGAATGGAATTCTTGCAGAGAGAGTAGCAGTACATCCAATGAGAAGGAATCTTGAAGTGGTAAGAAATGAGACTTGAGGGTTAAATTGAGTGCAGTTCACGTCCGTTAACATATCATGTCAAGAAGTTTGTACTTTATCCTGTGGATAGTGGGAACTAATGATGTGTTTGAAGAAGAAAGTAGCTTGATTGCATTTGTACTTGATAAAAATATTTCCATTATAATGTGGAGAATGAATTGGAGAGAAGCAACTGTTAGCAAAAGTTACTTGCTTTCAACCGTTTTCAGTGTGGTTGGTTTTCCTGAATAAATTAAATGGTAATCTCAAGGGAAAAACAACAAGCTGTAAAAATGATGAACTGAATATTTAAGGAAATCAAGAGTGAAAAGCTTAGAGCCTATAACCAGTAGGGAAGAAGAGTAATACAGTTGTTAGGAGCAGAGATTCTGGAACCAGTTGTGTCGGTCTGTATTGCTAATACTAGTACTTTCTAATCGTCTGTCCTTGACTGAGTTATTTAACTTGTCTGTGCTTCCATTTCCTCTTAACCAACTAGGAATGATAATAGTATGTGCTTGAATAATTTCTTTAGAAAAATCAGCACAAGGCCAGTTCCTGTGAGGTAGAGGTTAAAGATGTCCCAGATGTCCACCTTTTCCAAGCTGCCTTGCCACTCCATCACCTTTAACATCAACTCCTCCTCCTCCCCTCAGCAATTTTCCTCGTCTTACAAAAACCAAACCAAACTCATTGCTGTTGAGTTGGACCCAACTCATACCAACACCTCTTTGGGTTTTTGAGGTAGTACCACTACGGAAGTAGATTGCCCAGTTTTCCTTCTGAGGAGTGGCTGGTGGGTTTGAACTGCCAGCCTTCTGGTCATAGGGTTCCATATTTTACTGTAACAGTCCGCAGAACTCACAAACTCCCAAGGAAACAGCTCATGGGATGGTGGTAGAGGCTGGGAGGCTGGGGGACTGCAAGTCCCACATCTGTGGGTACGTCTGGAGGACTCTCCCAATTCATGTGGTTGCAGGGGTTGGTGAACCCAAATTGGCAGGTCTGATGATGGCTGCTGTCTCAAGTCCAGGGGTGAGATGATGACAAACCAAACACAGAACCGGAGCAAGAGAGTAAACTTTCCCAGAACATTTCTATATATACCCACAAGGAAGCTAAGGGTAGTGACTTGAGTCACCCCATCCACTGAGGTGAGACTGAAGATATACATCCCACCCTAAACATGTACAGAGAATGTTGTTGTTGTTATGTGCTGTCGAGTCAAACCTGACTCATAGCGACCCCTCCTTGGGTTTTCGAGGCAGTATCACTACGGAAGTAGGATTGCCCAACCTTCCTTCCGAGGAGTGGCTGGTGGGTTTGAACCGCCAGCTGTCTGGTTAGCAGGCAAGTGTCTTAGCCACTATGCTACCAGAGCTCCCGTACAGAGAATAGGATTTACAAAACATCACAAATGGTGGTGACGTGAGTCATACCTTCCAGCAAGGCAGGACTCAAGATGCATTCCACCTTAAACAGGACTAAAAAAATAAAACCAAACTCACTGTGGTCGAATAGATCCTGACTCATAGTGACCCCTTCTTGGTTTTCTGAGGTGGTATCTCTACAGGAGTAGATTGGCCAGTCTTCCATCCGAGGAGTGACTGGTGTGTTTGAACCGCCAGCTTTCTGGTTAGCAGTCAGATGCCTTAGGCACTGTGCCACCAGAGCTCCCTAAACAGACATAGAGATTAGGATTTACAATATATCACAAAATGGAGGATGATGGCTGTTGTTGTTAGATGTCATCTCCGACTCATAGCAACTCTATCCACAGCAGACCAAACATTGCCTGATCCTGTGCCAGTTCCAGGATCCCTGCTATACTTGTGCCCACTGTTGCAGCCACTGTGTTGATCCATCTCGTTGAGGGCCTTCACCTCTTTCGTTGACCCTCCACCTTACCAAGCATGATATCTTTCTCCAGGGAATGGTTCCTTCTTATAGCATGACCAAAGTAGGTGACATGAAGTCTGGCCATTCTTGCTTCCAAGGAGCATTCTATTCTGGCTGCACTTCCTCCAGGACAGATTTGTTAGTTCTTTTAGTAGTCCGTGGTACTTTCGGCATTCTTCCCCAGCACCATAACTCAAAAGCATCAGCTCTTCTTTGGTCTTCCTTATTCATTGTCCAGCTCTCACATGCATATGAGGCGATTGAAAATACCATGGCTGTGTCAGGAGCACCTTTGTCCTCAAAGAGACATCTTTGCTCCTCAGCACTTGAAAGAGGTCTTTTGCAGCCTATTTGCCCACTGCTATATGTCATCTGATATCCTGACTGCTGCTTCCATTAGTGTTGGTTGTAGAACCAAGTAATATGAAGTCTTTGACAACTTCCATCTTTTCTCCATTTATCGTAATGCTGCTTATAGGTCCAGTTGTGAGGATTTTTGTTCTTTTTATTGAGATGTAATCCTCGGAAGGAAGGTTGGGCAATCCTACTTCCTTAGTGATACTGCCTCGGAAACCCAAGGAGGGGTCGCTATGAGTCGGGGCCGACTCGACGGCACATAACAACAACAACAACAACAACAAATCCATACTACAAACTGTAGTCTTCAATCTTCATCAGTAAGGGCTTCAAGTCATCCTCACTTTCAGCAAGTAAAGTTGTGTCATCAGGGTATCGCAGGTTGTTAATGATTCTTCCTTCAATCCTGATGCCACATTCTTCTTTATATAGTCCAGCTTCTCAGGTTATTTGCTAAGCATACAGATTGAATAAGTATGATGAAAGATACAACCTCAACACACATCTTTCCTGATTTTAAACCATTCAGTATCCCTTGCCCTGTTCAAATAACTGCTGCTTGGTCTATGTGTAAGTTCCTCATGAGCACAATTAAGTGTTTTGGAATTCCCCTTTGTTGCAGTCTTATCCATAATTTATGAGCAACTGCACAGTCAAATGCCTTTGCATAGTTGCTCAAATGCAGATAAACATTTCTAATGTTTTCTGCTTTTAACCAAGATACATCTGACATCAGCAGTGAAATCCCTTGTTTCACATCCTTTTCTGAATCCAACTTGAATCTGAGTGTTCTCTGGAGATGTACTGTCCAACCATTTTTTAATTATCTTCAGCAATATTTTGCTTCCATATGATATGAATGATATTGTTGGATGATCTCCACAATCTGTTTCATCACCTTTCTTTGGAATGGGTCTGATAATGGATCTCTTTCATTTGGTTGGCCATGTAGCTGTCTTCCACGTTTCTTAGCATAGACAACTGAAGATTTCCGACACTGCGTGCTTTTGTTGAAACATCCTGATTGGTATTCTGTCAATTCCTGGAGGCGTGTGTTTCACCAATGCTTCAATGCAACTTGGGCTTTTTCCTTCAGTGCTGCTAGTTCTTGATCACGTGTTACCTCCTGATAGAGTTGAACATTAGCCAATTCTTTTTGGTACAGTGACTCTGTATATTCTTTCCATCTTCTTTTAATGCTTCTTTCATCATTTAATATTTTGGTCATAGAATCCTTCAGCATTGCAATTTGAGGCTTGATTTTTTTTCTTCATTCTTTCAGCTTGGGAAATGCTGAGTTAATTCTTCCCTTTGGGTTTCTTAACTCCAAGTCTGCACATTTCCTTATAGTACTTTACTTTGTCTCTTGAACCACCCTTTGAGATCTGCTCAGCTCTTTTACTTCATCATTTCTTCCATTTACTTTAGCTATTCTATGTTCAAGCACAAGTTTCAGAGTCTCTTCTGACAGCCATTTATGTCTTTTCTTTCTTGCTTGCTTTTTAATGACCTTTTATATTCTTTATTATGAGGTTCTTGATGTCATCCCAAAACTCCTCTGGTCTATGACAATTAGTTCAATGTGTCAAATATATTCTACAGAAGGTCTCTAGATTCAGGTGGAATATACTTAGTGTTATACTTTGGCTCTCCTAGACTTGTTTTAATTTAATATGGCTCACCATATGACCTAGAAATTTCACTGGTAAGTATGCATTTCAAAGAACTGAAACCAGGAACACTAACAGGTAATTGAATGCCACTGCTCATTATGGCACTATTCACAATAGCTAAAAGGTAGGAAATAACCTTTTGTATCTGACTTAGAAAATACTTTCTAAATTAGAAAATGATTTAGAAATGTTGGTTATTATTATAGACCTTTTAACTATTATTTCTGTAATGGTAAATTTAACAGCCTCTAACATTAGGTGGTCAAAGGTTTATAAAATTAATGTCTTAGATATTTAAAATAATAAAATCAGTTAGAAATTATAAATATTTTTATTTATTTATTGCCTAAATATGTTGACAATTTTACATGTAATTGTTATCAATTTTGAAATAACAGCTATGTTACATTGGGAGCTCTGGTGGCATACATAGTTTCTAAGGTATTTGATTGCTAACCAGAAGGCTGGCAGTTCAAACCCACCAGCCACTCCTTGGAAGGAAGATTGGGCAATCTACTTCCGTAGAGATACCGCCTTGGAAACCCAAGGCAGGGTTGCTGAGTCAGATCCGACTCGACAGCAGTGGGGGGGTTACTGTTATATTATCATTATTGTAAGAGTAATGAGACCATTTAAAAAAATTTGTATATTGTTGGTATAATAGTCGTTTGTCTCTTGGTTTTGTAGATTTTAATTGAATTAGAAACAGCATTATTAGACGATGAACCACATTGGTACAAACTTCAGACCCATGATGTCTCTTCATTGCCACTTCCCCACCCTTCTCCATATATGCCACGTCGACAACTTCACGGAGAGAGCCCAACGAGAAGATTGCAAAGTAAGTTTTCAGTAATGATTATCATATCTTTATTGAATTTTTTCTAACCCTGCATGATAAATAGGATCAAGAATTTGAGAAGCCTTTATAGGTATTGCATGTATTCTGTTAGCATTTTCATGGCTATTGTGGAAGCTTTTAAATTGCTCAGTACCCTAAAATGATGTTATTCCTATAGCCTTCATTCATTCTCACAGTATCGAAGTGTTTTATAGCTGTATTTTGGATGCTTTGACCTCAAATGAAGAGTTATGTTTTAATCTTTCCTCTTAAAATCTGAAATATAGAAATGAAGTAGCTAATACAGTAGAGTGTTGTCATATAGGCCTGAGATGATTATTTACACCATTATTATACCAAGTGTTTTATGAATATGTAAGACAGCAAGTATAGCATACAGATTGAAATCATTGAGCTTTGGTTTTAAACTGATCTGAATGTAAATTTTGATTCTCTCTTCAGTGCTGTATGGCTTGAGAAACATCATCTCTTTATGCCTCACTTTCCTCATTTATAAAATGGAAATAATAATAATACCCTTAATAAGGGTGGTTTTTAAAGTATTTTATTAATATTGATATTTTATTGTTCTTATTCTTGTTATTATCATCTTTTCATTTACAATCCAAATTATAAAATACAATCCAAATTATAAAATAGTTTCTTAAAGAAACTCTGAGAAATATTTTTCAGATTGTAAATTGGCATTGTTGCCTTTTTGCCCCCACAACCCAGGCTCCCCTCCCCCTCTGCCCACCGATGAATCTATTATTGGAAGGAGAGGTGGACACTGGCTGCTTTGAATGATACTCATGGCATAGTTTCATCCTCATGAAGTTAGCATGTTCTAGATTCAGCAACATTTTTGTACTGAAGGACTGATTGTCTTTAACAAAATTTCAGCAGTATAAATTTATAAGCGTGAATTCACCAGACATAGGAAGTATACCTGGCAAGATAACAAATAACTAATTTTTTATATTAATCGCACCCATTTTGCTGAATAGGGACTAATTTATTTTTCAGAAGGGTGCTTGACTAGTATAAAATTAAGGTAGAGGATTGTTCCTATGAGATACTTAGTTATTCATAGGAAAGCCTAGAAAATGTCTTCACTCTTTTATAAAATACTCTATGTACCGAATGGAATTTATTTTCCCTAGATACGGTCTCTTTCTCTTGGATGACATTAATTGAACACTTTTTCTACAACATCTACATTTTTTAGCCTCGCACAGAGTAAACACTCACCCCCTCCTGTTTGCAAATGCCATACAACATTTTTTGTTGTAATAATTATGTCATTACACTGAATTTTATTCTGGCTTAATTTAAAGTGTCTGCTCTTTCTGGCTACTGTACATTCTCTTTAAATTGCGATGTATGATGATAGCTATATGAAAGCTACAGGAAGGCTATAAGAAGACTACTAATATAATTCTTTATGTACTAATTCTTACAGCTTCATGTTTATAGGCTAACTAGTCAGAGCCCTGGTTGTGCAGAGATTAAGTGCTTGGCTGCTAACCAAAAGCTGGGCTCTACTGTAGAAAGGTGAGGCAGTCTGCTTCCATAAAGATTTACATCCCTGGAAAGTCTGTAGGGAAGTTCTATTCTATCCTAAAGGGTCACAATAAGTTGGAATTCAACTTGATGGCAATGGGTTAGTGCTAGCCAGCATCCTGCTTTTTTATAGTATTGGGCATCTCTCTCCACTTATTCTAATTGTTATTTCAATAAGGGGTAGATGTGAGGATCCTCACTCCCCAGAACTCTCAAATCTATCTGTAGTTTTCATTATTTTTTTTTCCCTAGCTAATTAGGGGCAGCCAAAATGAACAACTATGAGAATAGAGTAGTTCCTAATTAGCTATGTCATAGATTCTCAAACAATGAATTTAATGTAATCAATTTTAAAGCTGTTTATATTTTTCATCCCAAAATTGGCTCTTTTGCTACTTACTCATTAATAGTACTAAATGTACCCTGGGTAATAAAATGGTTTCATGCTCTACCATTTCAGTCTTGTCACTGACTACCAACTGACCTCTAATAAAATTGTCAATATTTGAACATGAGGAGCTCTGGTGGCATAGTGCCTAAGGCATTTGACTGCTAATCAGAAGGCTGGCAGTTCAAACCCACCAGCCACTCCTCAAAAGGAAGGTTGGGCAATCTACTTCCATAGTGATACCACCTCGGAAACCTAAGGAGGGGTGACTATGAGTTGGTTTTAAGTCAACAGCAGTGCATTGTGTTGTGTTGTTGTATTTGAACATGTGGCTAAAATTAGTGTTTTACACATAAGATGTTATCATAATTTGCTAGCAATATATATGTCTTAAGATAAGTAAAAATGAGTGTATGCATAAAAGAAAGAAAGAAAAACTAGTGACTAACATTTCAGAATAGAAAGAAAGCCAGAGAACATTGGTTAAGGATATATTGCTTATCAGTAACAGGTATAAGTCAAGGCATTAATAAATAAATATGTTAGGTAATTATTTTTAAAAATTATCAAGAACAAGAATATCTCTTAAGATTTTTCTACATGGAGGGGATACATATTGAACTTATTTATTCAAAAAAACAAAACTAAACTCACTGGCCCCTAGCCGATTCCGACTCACAGCCAGTCATAGTTTATAAGGTGTAAATTTTTACAGAAGCAGATTACCTCATCTTTCTTCCACAGAGCAACTGGTGGGTTCGAAACACCAACATTTTGGTTAGTAACCAAATACCTTAACCACTACACCACCAGAGTGCCTTATCGTCAAAGATCATGATCATTAACATGTTTGGAGGACCCTCTGTGTGAATAGTTAGTATCAAAAGTTTTTAACAGCCTCTCCTTTATTTCCTACATCTACATAATGTCAAGTTCAACAATTCGTGCCCTGAAACCATGTGCCTCACACTGAGGCTATGAGCTTATGGAATGTACATGGTTACAGATATTCAAATTGAACAAATGATAATGTCTAACTCTTTTCTCTCCTGCTCATGATTCCCTATTTTAAATTTGTAGATTCAAATGATTCAAAGAATCACTCAATGTACATGAATGTTAGTAATTTATGATTCTTATTAAAAGTGAAGGAAATGTTTTAAATCATTCTAAATATAATTGTTTCATGTATCTTATAGTTAATTTAAATATTGAAAGTAATTGTTTTTAGATAGGAGTCCAGGCAACTTTGATCCTAAGTTTTGTGGAATAGTTTTCTTAATAAGGGGTTTGGTAAAAATAAGTATCTAAAGTAGTTGTCTTCTTCATAGATCAATATTCCTGCATTTGACAAGTAAGAATGTTTTATGTTATATCTGTAGAAATGACCACATTCTTGTTGCTTCAGAGCCCGAGAGAAAGTCGTTATGAGAAATTCAAATTTCAATGGAAAGTGCATTTCCTAAAACCTTTGTTTTACTTCAGATTTCTCACATCCACTTCAATTTTAAGTGTTTTCTTTTTGATATGACCAAAAGATGGGAGTGGCAGTGAATATTTCAAAGGGTGATTGATTAAGCATTTTTGAAAAAGCATCAGCTGTGTGTTCAAATAACTAAACTACATTAATAGAGAAATGGAGTCACTTTTTTGATGGCAAAAATTTCATATATTCACACAATTTTATTTTTAATTCATTAATGAGAAATTTCATTCATTACTTCTTCGCTAGAAGATAGAGAGATTGCTCGGAAAAGTGTGTTTTGATGTTTAAGCTTTTATTATTATGTATTATTTATTGTTAATGGGTTAAAGTCATAAAGTACCTTAAGAAAAATCTCCCTTTAACATGACAAAAGTTAGTTACAAATTTGTTTATTACTTGAATTCTTATTAACCACTCATCATAATTTGAAATATAAAGATCCAATGATAGTTTTCTTTAAACTGATGCTTCTCTCTTTTACCTCATATCAACACATTCATCCCTTTGACTTCACAAATGTTAATTCTTCACTTAGTAAAATTTAATATTACCACTCCTTTTTAAAATGTTGCACTTTTCTAAATAAAGAACATCATATCTACTCAGCCCCGTGACCACAAATCCTCAAGAAAAGTGAATGGTAAGAAATCATTATTAGTAGAAAACCAAAATAATGCTATCACGACATATAGGATAAGAAACATGATTTTGTAATTAAAATTTTTTCAAGATTTCAACCATTTGGAGGATTTCAAGTGTTTGGCTGTTATTTCTTCCAATTTTTTACCCCATTCATTTACTCATACATCTAAGTATGTATGATGTATGAAGACTTCTTAACATTGTTCCATAGATGTGGAGTTTTTATTTTTTAAATCCCCTTTTCCTGTCTGTGCTTCAGTTTGGATTATTTTTATTCACTTATCTTCCAGGTTCACTGATATGTTCTTCTACAATGTCCAATTTTCTATGAAAAGACAATACTATGCATTGTCTTCTTAAATATACTATATTTTTATTTTAAGATTTACATTTAGTTTTCTTAGAAGTTTCCATATCCTTCCTGAAACTCCCCTCCTTTGTATGTATGTATATAGACTTTTTAAAGACTCTGGATTTGGAAAAGTATTGCATTTTCTCTTAGAAGACAAATTACTGAGAGATTACCTGTATCCTATGGAAGATATGTTAGCAGCCATATTTTGGTTCTTTCCCTAGTCCTAAGGCATTGTGGTTATTTCTAAGGTGTGACCTTTTTAGAGAAAGACCAATGTGTTACAGACCCAAGTGCCTATAACATAGAGCACTTCAGTGCCAAACTCTGTACCAGGAAATAGCTGGATTCTCCTTGCACCTCTCTTAGCCTCCCAGCTATGGATTTCTGGTGGGTTTCTTCTTTTCTTTCTCTCTCAAGTTTACCATTCAGTCAAGAATTTGAGGGGCCTTGTGTAAATTTGGACTCTCCCTCCGCCTTCTCTGTCCCCTCCTTTTCCGCATTTCCCCTTAATTGTAACTGCTCCGATAGTGCTGAATTCTGTTCTCTTGACTTCTGAGCCATAGAGG